ACCTCTAAAGTTTATAAATTGAGAGATAAATATCTTAGAATAAGTACTAAAAAGCAAATCTCAAGTACTAAAAAGCAAATCTACAAGAATTTGCCATACAATTAGACATTCTCCAGGGAAAAAAAGTTAATTTGGTTCAAGTACTTAGTCCCACTCTTAATATTTTAGACCAAACATTTTCTGATGCTGCTGAACTTTCTGTTTTATTCTTTCAATTCTAGCAAAGGAAAACAGTATAATAAAGATTTTTATTTCTGGAATTTGATTTTAAACAACAAAAGGCAAGTAACACAAAAATAATGAGTTTATCACTTTATAAGTTTAAGTGTTCTTACTTGAAATCTGACAAAGTTCCATTTCCCTGTTGGAGGCAAATGATAATGCTAATTCTTTATTTGGGACACTCATCCTGGCTCATGTGATTACATAGAAAAAAGCTGAGAACTTACCTTCTATCAATACTCAGGACTATGTAAAAGTATTACTTTATTTTCTAATCATAATAAAATGTTTTAATAAACCTATAAATGGTGAAGGAGTGGCTTAAATATTTCAAAATGCATTAAGACTCAGAAACTACCTTATAGAAATCTGTCCAGCACACTACCTATTGATTTGTCCCTTCTCTTTTTTTATTAGAGTTACCATAAATGAGCTCCTTTTTTTAAGCTGTTTTTTTTTTTTTTTTTTTCCTGAGTACAAGTGGTTCTTCTATACTATCCAAAGGAGAAAAGCATCCCAAGCTTTAACTTAAGAGCAAGGAAGAAATATGTGCTTCTATCTCACAAGATGTTTGTATTTGAAAAAGAAAATTCATTTCACTTATTCTACCTTTTGTACAATATTTCAATGTAAGATAAAAAATGGATTTCAAGTGTGTGAGTTACTGATTTTTTTTCCCTAACTTCATAGACATTTTGTCCCTTATCTGGAGGATACTGGCTACAGACTTGTTGAATATGAGGCCAGCTAGTATTAAAGAGACAACTATTTCAAGTGTGAAGATTATGTGGCTCTTTTGTAAAAAGACCAGAAAACAATGCCTTTACCCAAACAATTGGATCTAGAGACTTCTATTACGAGCTCAAGGAAAGCAAAAGTACTAAAAGTGTTCTAAGACTATAACTTTTAGGTAAGCCAATCAACCTTTACTTCTTTAACAAAAGGAATAATTTTAGTATAATGTGACCTGCTGCTTCTTTCCCTAATCAGAAGATTCCAGAAGCAACTCAAAACTCAAAGTAAAACTGAAATTAACAAAATGAAAACTGAACTGTTTTGAAACTATGACTCAACTTCTTACAACCCACACACTAAACTAGGAGCATAAATTAGCATAGAAGTGATAGGTCTTTTAGGCATAAATCACTCATGTATAAACTAAGTAAAATATATTAAAGAATCTTATAAGGAAGCTACTTTTTGTGGCTGAGATCCTATATGGGTTGATTTTCTTCAACCTTAATAGATTTTTTTAACCAAATATGATATAATTAAAAAATATTTTAGAATTATGAACAAGAAAAATATACTAAGATACAGAGGTACTAAAAATATTGCTGCTGTCTACAACTGAGTGAAGAAAAGTTGCCGTGGCAATGGATGGGTTGAGGGTAAAGGAAACAGGGGATAAGAGTATACCCTCTCAAAGTAAATAACTAAATAGCTTTAAAAAAAAAAAAGACCATCAGACAAATGTTGACGTATACTAGTCTCTAATAATCATTAGATTTCAATGATTTAAACCTGCAGTAGAGTGGCTAGGTAGGTAGCTCAGTCACACAGCACTTGCCTAGCATGTATGAAGTTCTATAGTCAATCCCTGCACCAAAACAAAAACAAAAACAAAACCTAAACAAACAAAATAACCCCTCAAAAAACAAACTAACAAAACTTCCATAAGAGTGTAAACATGTCATAAGGACTTCCATTTCACTCATTAAAAAAATACCCTTAGAAGTCCTTTTTAACTCTACAGTCCTAAAAACTATAGACTTTATCTACCCTGATCCCTTTTAACCATTACTTTGTGGACTTGCATTATTCAAAAGAAAATGTAAGACCAATGAAATCTATCAATATGGATTTTTCTAAATTTAAGTTCTGTCTCTGATTAAAAATGGCCTAAGTGGGCTGGGGATGTAGCTCAGTGGTACCGTGCTTGCCTAGCATACTCAAGGCCCTGGGCTTGATCCCCAGAGTAAAACACACAAACATACACACACACACACACACACACACGGCACTCCATGTTTACCTAAAATTATTGTAATGCTGAAAAATGCCTGACAAAGGTAGAGTAATTCAGAAGACCCTGTGTTCCTGAAGAGAAAAAAGAAGCACATTACATAATGCTAAATGACAATATGAATGATGTGTCCAATCACAGCTATCTGTGAGTTACACAAAAAATGTTCATCAGAATTGTGTTCTCTAATCATAATATGTCAAATTATCATGTCATCTATGACTAAAAAATATTTTTAAAAAATGTGAAAGAAACAGTATCATGTGAAACACAGAAGTATAAAAGAAAAATTATGTTCCATCTAGCTTAGAAAAGAAACTCAGACATGTTTAGGGTACTAAATCCCTGCTCACTTCTTACCATGTTTAAAGCAACTAAAATCTCTGCTTCTAATCTAGGAAACAAATATCCTCAGACAGCAAGCTCTTTCCAAGTAGTATTATTTGCAAGCCTCAACCCAATCAAAACTAGAAAGTTAGTATTAGATTTTAGTTACATTTATGGTATCAAAATCAAATTCAATGTATTCTATCAATCCACTCTCACTGGAGGTTGATAGAAGCGGTGATTATTAACATAAATTACTATAATAACTATGAGCCATTGGAACCGAAGAATCACTCACAGTTAAAACTTAACAGTAGACTTAGAAAGCTTCCTTGGTCTATTAGTAAAATTAAGAGAAAAATTTTCCTAAATGCCTTATTGTAATAACATGAGAGACTACTCTTCAATAGGTTGACATTTCTTTTTTTTATTTTTTTAAGTTTTAGGTGGACACAATATCTTTATTTTACATTTATGTGGTGATGAGGATTGAACCCAGTGCCTCCTACATGCTAGGTGAGAGCTCAACCACTGAGCCACAACCCCAGCCCAGGTTGACATTTCTATGCTCAACTCCACTATCTGCTTTCTTACTTGGAGAAAGCTACATAAAGTTTTGTACAGGAAAGCATCTCTTACAACCAGGAAACTAAGAATAGTGAGTGGTTATGCTTATACTTCCTCTCTCTTTCCCATTGACTCCTTTTTCCTCTCAAGGCCATTAAAAGTGAAACGGCACCTCCATTAAGAGAAAGGTTTATGGCTACCAATCTTTGCAAAACCACATAATCAAAATATTCCAGGTGTTTCTCTGGTAGAATATGTCCTCCCTGTCCATGTTACATCAATTGACACTGTTACAGGCACAGCTAAGGTTACAGAATCCTTGATGAATATTAGACCGTAATGTAAGCCATGTCAGCATACAAATGTGAAAGAAAAGGGCTGGGGCTGAAGCTCAGCGGCAGAGTGCCTGCTTAGCATGTATGAGGCATGAGGTTTGATACTCAGCACCATATAAAATAAAGGTATCATGTCATCTACAACTAAAAATTTTTTTAAAAAAATATGAAAGAAACAGTGTCACGTGAAAAACAGAAATAAAAAGAAAAATTATGTTCCATCTAGCTTAGAAAAGAAACTCAGACATGTTTAGGGTACTAAAACCCTAAATCCCTGCTCACTTATTACCATGTTTAAAGAACTGAAATCTCTGCTTCTAATCTAGGAAACAAATATCCACAGAAATAAGAAACCTCCTGGTGCTGAATCCACAAAACTCCACAGTAATCTTGGTTACTTTTTATACTCTTGACATTTAAAATACCAGAAATACAATCCTGAGTGCCTTTTCCTTACACCTGTCATGTTGCCACACGAGACCAAGACACTGACTAAAACCTATGAATAAAGATCAGTGACATTTCATTCTAAACTATTTGAGCACTTAAAAGCCTAGAGCCCATTACTTAATATAGAGAAGTGTATGCATACTAGATAGTGAAAAATAAAGGACTCCAACTAGTGCCACTACCAAATGGAAATACAGAAGTGATACTCTTTTCCAGGAGTTATTTGGCAAAATACTGATTTTAAACAGGGATATTACATTAACAATTATCTTTGTACACAGAGAATTCTGACAATGGAAGACTTTTCTAAACTAAATGGCATGTCCCTGGCTTAAAAGAAAACCTAAAGGGATCAACAAAGTTTTAAATAGAATTTAATATTTAACTATCTAATTTCACCTCTGTTGATCAACAGTCAACTCTGAAACAATATTAGAGCCAAAAGTTTATTATAAACACTTTAACAGATTTTGCCTCTGTTCCTTAAGTTGGCCTAAGACTACTCTCCTGATTTTGATTACCTTCTGATATGGATTATCACTTTTTCAAAGTCATTCTTATAAACTCAATCTTTCTCTTTCTCATCTTTTATTGGAGTTTAAAAATGCTCTCAAAGAGCAGGAGTTGATTGAATGGCAAAAATAATACACACACATGCATTTATGACATGATATGGAACATATGAAATGGACTGTGAAAGTGGGGAAGGAATAAACTTTATTGGCCCATAGAAGGGATGAGGGAACAAGAAGGAAGGGCTGGGAAAAAGAATGAGTATGTGTGGGGAAACTAAAACTGAATGATTTAAATGTGCAAATACACTTTGTAACCTCCAACAATCAATGGAGAAGTAGGTATGTACATAAGATACAGGAGGCTAAAGTGAGTTTCACTTTGTAGTTGATGCTACTTGTACCAGCTCTATTATTAGTAAGTCACCATTTAATTCTGCCACATCAGACAAGGCTCCCTCTGGTTAGTGTAAACAGGTTTTCCATCCTGGGATGCAGTGTGACCCGCCAGTGCTCAGAAGGCATGCTTGTGATGAACTTGCACACCTTCCAGTTCCCCACCTCCAACGGCGGCCAGGGTCTCCAGTCTGCTTAAGCGCTCCAGACTTCTTCCAAGAATTTCTTCTAGCCGACTGCGTAATACCTGGGCCCCTTCGAGTTCCACCTGCAGAGTTCGATCTCTTTCAGAGCTGATTGAACATGCCACATGGAAGGAAAATGGATTAGCCATCAACTGTAACAAGTCCACATATGTTTCCAAAGAGCCATCAATGCTACTCTAGACTGTGAGATTTTCTAAAGTAATGTTCTCCAGGACATCATAAATGAATGAGCCCACTAGAATCAAATTGTGAAATATGATGTATTAAGAACTATGTAATGTTTTGAACGACCAACAATAAAAAAATAAATAAATAAATAATAAATAAATAAATAAACAAACGAGCTCTTTGGTGCAGCACATGTAGTCACTACTGATAGATTTGCAAGGCCTGTTCTTTCTTCAAAGCCTGCCCCTTTAGGCCAGATTCTGGGCAAATCTCAAATAAAATTATAGTCTTATGATTGCTCTCACCCTCCTACAGGCCCCATAAAAGAAATTTCATTATTAAAAGCTTTAGTTTCTGAAAAACTAAAACCCAGGAAAAATTAAATGTAAACTGAAAGGCATGGGGATATAGCTCAGTTGGTAGAGTGCTTGCCTCATATGCACAGGCCCTAGATTCAATCCCTAGCACCACAAAAAAAAAAAAAAAGTAAACTTGCTTCCATGTTTACCCAAAATTATTGTAATGCTGAAAAGTGTCTGACAAAGGTAGAATAATTCAGAAGACCCTGTGAAGCAAGACTGAGCCAAGTAGAATTGCTGAAGATAGCTATTTTTTACCAAAATGGACAGTGTTCTGAAAATAAATCCAGTTCATAAAGACTAAAGATCCAGGGGTTCTTTAAAAAATAACACAAGCAAGTGGTCCTATCATACCTTTCCCCTGCTTTCATTTTCCTGAGTAAAAAGAAAATATTTTTAAGTCCAACAAGAAATTAGAAGAAATGGGAATAATAAAAATTTAAAACTGTGAAAGAGAAAAAAGGACTAGGAGAGAAAGCGAAATGAGGCGGGGGGAGGGTAATATAAAATAAACACAAAAGATAAAATATACATGACCAAAAATCAAGAGAAAAATACAAGAAAATATAATCATCATGATGATTATCGATGATTCTGAGGTAATATTAGGTATTGCAATGACTATATTACCTTCAATGATACTTAACTAATATCTGAGACCTTTGTAGCTATACTTTTATAACAGAACAGCCTTCAACAGGACATGGAGCAGAGAAAAGAAAGGAACATACACCAAATGCTTACCATATGCAAAGCACTGTTTAGATGCCTAAGCTGTCTTCTCATTTAATCCTCACAGTAACTATGTGAAACACACTATTCCTGACAAGATTTAGACACTGAGGCTTGGAGCCATCTACGCAACAAATAACAAAGTGGACAGCTTTCTTTTTCTCTCTTCTTTGGTATTATTAGCATCTGCACTTAATAAAGAACAGAAGAAATGAAAAGAATAAAAGGAATATTTTTTTTTAAAAAAGGGAAAAACAAAAGTTGGGCCTGACAGCACATGCCTATAATCTCAGTGACTTGGGAGACTTAGGCAGGAAGATCACAAATTCAAGGCCAGCTTCAGCAACTTAGTGAGATCCTGTCTCAATAATAATAATAAAAAAAATAATAATTTAGTAAAGGGAAAAGTTAATCTCTTACCTCTCTGGATGGGCATGGAACTTCACCAAGCTGCTATAGAGCTGTCTCTCAGCTTGTAAGGCCTCATTGAGTCGACTCTTTTCGTCTACTAGTCCTTCTAGCATCAGCAACAACTGAAGAAAGAAAAGAAGCAACATACAAATGGAAAAGTGAGGCGTGAGGCCAAGTTTATCCTGAAAAAAAGAAAAATGTATTTGCACATACTCTGACCAAAAAGTCCCAGTCTTTTATTATTTAAGATCTCTGTAGTATCTTACAGTTTTAATCAGTGACACAATATCATTTTATATCTTAGCTGAATTCAGATATGAGCGCAAGAAAGAAAAAAAAGGAGACAAAAGTCAAAAGCATAGGGAAGAAGCCCAAAAAACAGTGAGAAAGGATAGGAAAGAGGAAAACATACAATAGGACTTTCTAGTTTTCAATGTTCATGCAATAAACATTTACTGAGCACCTTTTAATGTGACAAACTCTGTTCTAATTCTAGGGAAAAGCTTACTATCTAGTGGGAGGAAAAGACATCCATCAATCATACATATGTCCTGTGAGATATACTACATGACATAAAAATAATGGGCTATGATAATGTGTAAATAGCAGAGATGTTTAAGCTAAAATTAAAGCTGGGGGCGGGGATGATAAGAACAGTTAGTGAGAGTAATGGTAATGGATGTAGAGCATAGGTAAATAAATCTTTTTGAAAAAATTTGGCATCGAAAAGGTCAAGCATAAAGTAGAGCTACAGAGGAACTCAAGGCAAAGGCAGGGTTGTTTCCTCTCTTCCTTTTTTAAATTGGGAGTTGTCTGAACATGGCTAAATGCAGGCAGATGAGAAAGAGTTAATTGAGAGAGAAGTGACTTATGTTTCAGGGTGAAGGATAACTGACAGTATGTGTCCAAAAGCAACTGCTACTCCTTTCAGAACTATAAAGGTTAGAAATAGGCATGTATGCCTGCTACTGAGCAAGGTACTGTGGAGTATGGATTCTCTATGAAATACCATCAACTGACCTAGATTTTTTTTTCAAAAGTAGTTGAGATTGACAGTCTTTCTATTGCTTATTTCAAATAAAAAAATAAAGTCTGCATTTCAATAATTTACCTGTTGTCTTCGGTTTCCTGAAATTTCTTGACCCTGCGATTCTACTGAAGCAACTTTTTCTCGAAGAAGTAAGACTTCTTGTGTCAGGCGTTCCATAGCTGGTATGTCTTCAGGATCAACCAGTTGCATTTGCAGGTCCTAGAAATTAAAAAACAAGTAGTAAGTATAGATATTAATATAGTAATAAAAGCTGTTCTAGCAGAGGAGCAAGGGAACAGATATTCTTGAAATAATCTACTATACTTTCAAGTGGGATATTGATAAGCACTGGCCAAGGGACCAAATGTATCCACATATTGTTTGAAGATGCCCTACAGGTAATCTAAGTTTCCAACACTTCCAATGGTCTTTAAAAAGCTTTGAAAGACCTTTATGAGATCTTCTTTTATCTGTATGTTCCTGGTCAGGGATTCCAGATCAGCAGCCTGCACCTGTAGCTCTTCCTCTTGTACAGCCATCATAGACTGTAGAGCAGAAAGTTCCATCTGGGGACAGAAGAAACACTGGAGTCAGCAGGTAGAGGAAACAACAGCTGTCACATTTACATTTTAACAATGAGGCAACTGCTTTTCATATCACATCACTATCAGCCAATAATGCAAAAGAAAACAAGAACATGAATAAAGCTCTACTGGAACAAATAAATAAACCACACAGCATGGTACCAAATGTTGTTTCATGGGAAGTTGTAATGGTTGTTTTTAATGGTGTTCCTTTACTTGAGTTAGCAGTATAAAACCATCAAATTTATTTAATTTAACCATATTTATTATGACACCTAAAAACTGGTTATCTTTAGCAGAAGTAAAAGATGAAGTTCTTCTTCATATAAGTTCCTTAGCTAATAGATTAAAACATTATAGAACACCTCCATTATGCAAAACTTAATGAATTAATAAATAAGGCATCAAACAAAAATAGCTGCTAACATCAGAGATCACTAAATATTACATGCTTCCTACTAAACATGCTACCACCTACAATGGAATCTTACACATAGTTAGCACTGTAGGCCCTAAACTTTCAGTGTTGTATTTTCCTTCCCTCCTCATCAGAAAATGATAAACATCGTTATAACAAATTCATTAAAAATTATGATAATAACCATAGCTGAGTTGTTCTCACAAACTTAGCGATCTGGCTAATCTACTTCTTGTCCTTCAATATCGGCCACTTTTATCCTTATTCTTCACTTTCTAGGAATACAAGACTTTTTCTGTTCTTGTAACATAGACTCTTGATTCATGGGCTTTATACCTATTACTCGGTCTGCCTGAAATATCTTTTTCAAGGATGCTTCCTTCCCATCCTCAGGACCCTAGTGTCATCTGCTCAAAGAAGTCTTCTTTGACCACTCCAGTTAAGGTGGTCCCCATCCATGTTACTTTCTATCACATTTTTTTTGTATCACTCATTTTAATTTTCAATTATAATATCATAATATTTTATAATGCTTATATTAGCAAATATATCAAGGAAATCTTATGTTTATAATTTATAATATCTAATGGCATAATTATTATAACATATTATAATTTATAATATAACGTGTTTCTTGTCTTTTATCTCTCTAGTAGAAATTACACAGAACCAGAATGGACATTGTTGATATTGCTCACTACCTCAGCCCTGCACTAGCTTACAGAAAGTATCCCATATATGAATGAATGAACAAGTGAACAAATGAATCCTCACAGAAATCCTATGGGGCAACTACTTTTCAATTTACAGATAAGGTGACTTCTACACCTCAAGTTACAGATGAGGTGATTGAGACAGAAATTAAGGAACCAATTCAAAAATCACAGAGCTAGTAAGTGGAAGATCCAGAGTATGAACTTGTGGAACCAAACTTGATTCACTAGGCATAATGTCTTTCCTGTAGGTATCATATTCCATATAATCTTTATAGCAATGGCAAGTTATTTTAAATAAATATTTTATAGAACTATTTTAAGATAATCTTTAAAAATTCAGTGGAACAAGTGAAGAGAGATGGTAAAGAAGCCAATTAAAGGTATAATTAAGCTTCCTAAAGGAAGCAACACTTCTTCCTTAAGCACATAAAATTTAAGTCAAAAGTAAGAAAAATTTTATTTGTGTATCTTCTAATTCCATCAATGCTTGCGGTATAACTGTGTGGCTCATAATGATTTAGTAACAGTTATCTTTTAACTACCTTTATTTTCCTTCCATGCTGAAGGAGCTTAGTTAGTGTAACTCTTGACATTTCTTTGCCCCCAATCAGGGGGAGGGACTTGACTTATCTGTACACAGTGGAAGAATAAACCAGGCCTGCTTGGCTCACACCCCCACTTCCTCTCCTTAGAAGACACTAGCCTAAAGGAAGACTATTTCTTATCGCTGCTTCTCCAAAGGCAGTTTGTTGCCCACCACAGAATAGTCTGCCAGGCCAATGCTGCCTGTGACTGAGCAGGTCAATTACCCAATCCAGGTCCAACATTGGTTCTTACATTAAGTTTTCTAAGACTCTGTCAGTATTAAATCTGATAAAGCTTCAGGCTATCTGCCACCAATTTGTTTTATTTCTCAATTTGTTCAGGGTTGGGTATGAAAAAAGGGTGCTATTTATCAGATCCTCTTCAAAGAGATAGATAGATAGATAGATAGATAGATAGATAGATAGATAGAGACAAGACATCCAGGTACTTGGTTCCATTGAAAAAAAATGAAAACATGAAGAAGAAAACATTTTTACAGCATGATAAAAGGTCTGCAGGTAAGACTGACACAGGTTTTAAATCCTGGCATAAACTCCTTTACAAGGCATTTAAACTAATGATTTCCTCAAGTGTAAAATGGGAATAATATAGCTACTTTTCAGGGCTACATAAGAAATACAGGAAATGTTTTACAAATACTTGGCACATTACAGGGAATTAATGAAGTAACTACTGCTGCATCTATATACTACTATAATATCAAAACAGGAAATATGGAGAAAATCGACATAGCTTTTGGTAAATACCTCATGTTAGATGGAATATGGTAATACATTTATATGTTATTGAACTTAGAAGAGGGTAATGGATTAAGGATTCATGAAGTTAAGCAATGGCTAAAAATCATTCATTCAAAATATTCATTCATAAGCATTATAATTTTATGATCACGAAAACAGAACAGAATCAAAAAGTAACATTAATCTGAATTTGGTACATATGAGAAAAACAGAAATAGTATGTGAAAATTAAAATATCTGACATGAATAATCAATGGCTAAAGTAAAGGAAAAAAGGGAAAGGACTAGGAGATTTAAAAACTAATTTTTTAAAATGCCATGCATGAATTGGTTTATAAGCAAAAATATGGTAATAAAATCAAAAGGTATAATAAGACAATTTCATCATAAATATAAACAGATTTTATATTATAGATCAAATTACAGCAAAAAAGGTAGAAAAAACTAGGAACTGAGCTAGCTAACTTAGGAACCCATGACACTGACTTTTTTAAAAAATATTTTTTGATGGACATCTATTTTATTTGCTTATCTATAGGTGGTGCTAGGAATCAAACCCAGTGTCTCACACATATGAGGCAAGCACTCTACCACTGAACTACATACAACTCCAGCCCCTGACTGACCTTTTAAAATAGATACCATAGCAACATGTGTTTAGTTATTGTCTGTAATGCTACGTTGTAGCCCTAACATTTCTTCTACATCATAGCTGGACATACAACTGGCTGTATGGGGAAGACAGAGGAAGGATTTCTATAAGACTGACAGGTTTCTTCTAAGAAAATGGATGAAAATTACTGATAGAAAGAGTTCATGCATAAGATGGGGAAGAGTATCTATTCCAAGAAATGACTTCTTAGAAAGAAAGTATTTGGAGACACAAAAGACTTTGAGTCTAAATCTTAGCTTTGGCATTTATTAGTTAGGACTAATCCCTGTCCCATTAAAAATAAATAAATTAGTGTTTCAACTTTTCCATCTATAAAATAAGTCCAATATCATCTATTTTGTGTAGAGTTGTGAACACTGGCATTAATTTAAGAATTCAGCACAGTCTAATGCATATAAGAGTACTCAAATATTATTGCTCATACTCAAATTTCTCTTGTTTAATGCTTCTAAACTCTAATTTCATGAGTCTAATGTCATAATTCTAAGCAGCAATAACATAGCGTTTCCTCTTTTCACAAGTGTTTTACAATTATTTTATTACAGTTATTAATGGGTAGAAAAAACTTCATTATTTCAGTAGTTAAAAAGCTTTAAAAGTCCCCATTATAAAAATAAGAGGATCTTATTGGATAAAATATATATATATATATGTATGCATATATATTATATATATCTTATTTACATGTATCTTTATATTATATACAATGTTATATATTATCTATATCTTACATATACATCCTTTACATATAAACACACACACACACACACACACACACACACATAAAATGATTTATTTTTTTCCAAAAAGAAAAAAGGTATACCTTATATTTGAACTTAGATATTATACTTAAAGAATCGTACTCTTTTAAATATAAACTATTCTGGGGGGAAAAAAAAAACAAAAACAGGAATTTAGAAATTAGCCTTGACTATAAAACTCACCTGACTTTCTCTTTCTTTTTTAGTCATAAGTACAAGTTCCTCTTTAGCATTACTCAGTTCTTTCTCCAGTCCTGCAACTGTGTCCAAGTCTCCTAAAATGAACACATAGTGCCAGTTTTAATCACTAAAAACATGTAATCTCTGCTGCCTCGTTTTTGAGAAATTTACTTGGGATATGCATTCCAGCAATTAAGAAAAAATAAACACACACACACACACACACACACTGTTTTATAGCATTATTTATAATAGCAAAATATTGCAATCACTCTACATGCGAAAGAGAAAAGACTGAATCAGCTACAGTGTATTCACATTAAGGACTATATATATATACAGCTATAAAAAAGAATGAGGAAGTTCATGAACTTATATGGAGCAATTTCAAGGAAACGTTAAGTGAAAGAAGCTATGTTCAAAAGAATACTTCTATCTGGAAAAGGGGGAAATATGTGACACACACATATGAATTATGTATGCACATGATTCATCTGTTTATTTTTGCAAAAAGATATTTCATTAATGATAACACAGAATTTAACAATTTACCTTCAGAGAATGAAAAGAAACATGAGAGAAAAGATTGGAAAGCAGAGGGGACTTCTGAGAATATTTTTTTCATATACTTGCCTTTTTAACTGTGTTAATGTTAAATTTTGAATGTGTAGGTTAGTTTGACAATAATAGGACATAAAAATCTAAAATTATGGAATACAGAAGTAGATATTATAATAATTTTTTAAAAGACACAATCCACTTACACAACAAATGGAGTGCAAAGATAAGGGCAAGATAACTCTTTTTTGTAAAAGAATTTCATAACAGATAAGAGAAAAAATTTAAGAACTAGGAAATTAATTTTTAAAAGTTCAAGCAAGGTTTAAAGAATGCTAAAGCCACTGACTATTGGGAAACACAACTGTCAGCATCTCAAGCTATCAGCCTGTAGAGCACTTACTAATTACAAAGGGGAAAATGAACCTTTACAATGGAGAGATCTGGCACACATTACAACCTTAACCAAAGGATAAAATTTGTTACCACTACGTAAAAATTTTTCCACATTTGATGATCTGATACTTATTCCTGTATATCCAATTATTCAACTTGAAGCAAACTGACCAATATGCACTAATGGGATACACCCAGAAAGACATCACTCATAGGATTCTTGACAAAAATGTTTTAACCTGAACCTAACCATGAGGAAACAATGATAGACAGTGCTCTGAATTCTTCAAAAATCCTAATGTTGTAAAAGACAGGAGGAAAAAGGTTGGAAAACTGTTCTAGATTAAAGTAGACTGAAGACAGGACATCTAAGCACAATGCATGACCCCTGGTGGCAAGAAGAAGCAACTACAGAAAATGTTATTGAGACAATGAGAATTCTAAATATGGATTATATATTTAGATAGTAAAAATACATTAAGGTCAAATTTCCTAAACAAGATAATTACATTGTAAACATGTAGGAGAATGCCTTTGTCCTTAGAAAATACTTGCTGAAATATTTACAGATCAAATGTCATGATGTTTATAAGAATTTAGAAAAAAAGCATTATATCTATATATGTTGTGCACACGGAAGGAAAGAAATAATGCAAATGTGGCAAATGTTAACAATTGATGAATCCTAATAAAAATGTATATGGGTATTCACTACACTATTGTTGCCACTTTTCTGTAGGTTTGAAATTTCCAGAATAAAAAGCTGGGGCAAAGTATGTTTTTTTCTTCTATCATATATATCTAATTAAAATAAATAAATAAATTTTAAAAAGAAAAAGGCAAATATAAAGTAAATTACACAAATCTAGCATTCATTACTTTTGGGGCAATGCAAAGGTTTCTTGTTAGATAATGAAACTTGTGCCATTTTTCCCACAGAATCATCTAATACCATACACTATAATACAGGCGCAAACTTTTTACATTCTTGGTGACAAAAGAAATCACAAGTTAATTGTTTAAGTTTACACCCTTTCTGGTTCCAGCATTATAATCCCTACCTCATTAATCATCACCAGTAGCTACTTCTGTAATTCTCTGGGAAATAGTTCCTTAAAGCTACCCTAAATACCAACCTTTTGCTCTGTAAATGCAGAAACTCCAATCCAAGGTTTCTACTTGAGTTTTGCTCCCACCATGCTTAGAATGTGATTGTCTTTGGGGAGTTCAAGCCCTACAGCCATTTGTTGAATAAGGTTGAGCTTGGAAAATAATTCAGGTATATTGTCCCTCCTAATACTTTAATGTAAGTGTTGTCAAGTTACTATGAGCACCCCATTATTGAAAGATATCCATTAGAMTGTATCAGTTCCATTGGTCCTGCTGTGCAGGTTTGGAAACACTACTCTGGCATTTCCGAATGCCTGCAAAACTCTCTCAAAAGGAGAATTAGGATTCAGTTTCCCTGGAGTAAACTATGAACTCTTTTTTTTTTTTTAAATATTTATTGTAGTTGGATACAATATTGTAGTTGTAGTTGGATATAATATCTTTAATTAATTAATTTATTTTTATGTGGTGCTGAGGATCAAACCCAGGGCCTAGCCTGTGCTGAGCAAGCACTCTACCACTGAGCCACAACCCCAGCCCCAACTGTGAACTCTTATCAACATAAATTATGGGCATTTCTTCTCAGAACTGACATGTCTCCAGCCTTTCAGAGGAATCCAAACATTTTTTTCTGTTAAAAGAAAGAGTTGTGGCCAAACCTATTAACACAGAGATACAGGAAGGAAAACAAAAGATCTTTTCATGAAACAAAATTTGATACTTACCTAATGTGGACCTGGGAATGCTGGCATCCTCTTTGGCAGGCAAGGAAGTGCTATCATTTCTGGAGGGCATTTGCATTGATGCCTAAAAATTGGAAGAGTTGGGGAATTTAGGAAGACACAGGAACTATGATCACAATGGCAGGACTTGCAATATTCTCATACAGTTTCATATTAAAAGTTATTAAACTTATATGCCTGAAATGTAAGCAAGAAATGCTGCTGACTTGAAGTCTACATAAGTCTACAGTTCTTACTTGATCAGTTTGCTCTCCCAGATTGGGGCTCATGGAAGTAGCTTTAGCTTGTTGGTTAGAGATGAGTGTTTGAGTCATCATTAAGTCTTTCCCTCCTAAATGCTGGCGTATAGCCTGTAATTCTAAATTTCTTTCCATTAGGGCTTGCACCATCTTCTCTGCAGCAGCCTAGTGAGAAGAAGTCACAAATAACATTAGAAAGATATTGCAGTAAAATAAACACAATTTGTTTTCAAGTGTAATTGCTTAAAGGCCAACCATTTAGAAAAACCTATTTGGGGGGGCTGGGTTTGTGGCTCAGTGGTAGAGCACTTGCCTAGCATGTGTGGGGCACTGGGTTCAATTCTCAGCACCACATATAAATAAAGTAAAGGTCCATCAACAACTAAAAAAAAAAATAAAAAAAAAAAAGCTACTGGGACCCTAAGAAATAGTTTCCTTGCTATCAGTTTATAAAGAAAAATAGTCAAGTGAGTAGGAAAAAAAAGTTGCTCATAGGCAAAATGTTGAAAAAAAAAAAAACATAACACATTTATTACAGATAAGAGAAACTCAAGTAGATTCTGCTAGAACTCTATTGGACTAAGGTGTTAAGGTCCTGGTTTGAATTGGTGTAACAGATGACTGTCTTTACTCTTACTTGTTTCTTTGCCCTGGATTACTCTTCACCTATATATCTGGATGGTTTGCTCCCTTCAGGTCTTTGCCAAATGTCACCTTATCAGATTGGCCTTCCCTGAGTATCCTGTCTAAAACAACAATCTTGTGAGTCACAAGGCACAAATATTCAGTTATGTGTAAGTTCTAGGGATCTAATGTACAACACAGCGACTATTGGTAATAATGTTATATTGTTTACCTCTATTTGCTAAGAGTAGATCTTTAATGTCCTCACTACGGATCCACACATAGGAAATAACTGTTTCCTAAGACATTGTATCCATCTACAACTAAAAAAGTATTTTTTTTTAAAAAGCCATTTAGGTGATTCTTCTGCATGTAAAACTTGAGAATGCAGAAGAATATAACTAATACTATTGCTGAATTTAAAATCTTCAGTCATTTCCATTCGCTCCAAGGTTCCATTATTTTATTATCTGCTGTGTAGTAAAAAGATGTATAATAAGACTAATTCTTTCAAATAACAGAGGTTAAAAAGAAACTTCAAAGACTTAGTAGCCTCTTGTCAAAGACTTAAATGATTCACAATAATTTTGTTAGGTCTCTTCTAGAAGTGATCATTGAAGTATGTGGCAGGATGTTTCTAACAAAATGTGAATTTACTTCAGTAGGCCAGAGAATTAGAAGAGTGGAATATCACTATCCCATGTTACAAGAAAGCATCAGAAAATATTGTGGTAACATAACAAGGCAAATAAGAATGCAGCTTCCTTCAAAAACTGATTCTGAGCTATTGGTCCTTAATATGCAGCATAAGTCAACTAGTAGTCTTTGCCCTTAAGGAAAAAGATAAAAATGAAGGGAAAAATAAAAAATTATTTCTGAAATAGTTGTATACCATTATTTTGAGATTAACACTCAATATTGAGTATGGGAATGTATTCTCTTCATGTCCTTTCAAAACCAATCATTTTTTTTCCTCCTGAGATAGGAAAGAAATACCTTTTTGGGGGTGAGTACCAGGGACTGCACTCAGAGGCACTCAATCACTAAGCCACATCCCCAGCCCTATTTTGTATTTTATTTAGAGACACGGTCTCACTGCATTGCTTAGCACTTCACTTTTGCTAAGGCTGGCTTTGAACTCGAGATCCTCCTGCTTCAGCCTCTCGAGCCACTGAGATTAAAGGTGTACACCACTGTGCCCAGCGAAAGAAAATACATTTAATTGTAAGTTTTTCCATACCTTGAATGGAAATATAAAATGTCACTCAAGTCTTGATAGTTTAGAATTAAAATCAAAACACTCCAAAATTCCATACCTTGTTCTCTTAAAATGATCAAAGCATTAAGAAAAAATCAGTATAGACAATGCAGTTAATGAACACGTGTTTTTGGCACATTTCCAAATGTGGTGTTTAAAACACATTTAACACTTGGATGATTGATGTAAAACTGAAATCTATTTAATAAACAGCAGGAGAGAAACTATGGAGTTTCTCTGTATATCATGTAAAATGATATACACATGTTACAAATGATACTTTTCTGGTCTCTGCACTAGTCCTTACCTGGCTCTCCTGCTCCCTGGTGCTCACAGACTGAAGCAGAGCCTGAACCTCCATTTCATGTTCCAAAGCTTGTTTGTTCCGATCACTTAGGAGGTCCTGCAGCATTCTTTCTTTTCGCTGTAAACGCTGGCAGAGCTCCTCAGCTATTTCACTCTGTTCCGGTCCCAGTTTGCAGAGCAATGTTGCACTAAGATCCTAATGCAGAAGGAATGGTGTAAGATTTTGGAAAAAAAGTTCTTTCTAACACATACTGAAATGCATATAAGAACTGTCATGGAAGAAAGAGCTTTGAGGTTCTTGAGAATAAGCATCATGTTTTATCCACTTTTGTTTCCCCACATTTAGGAAAGGCCTATGACTCAGAAGGCTAGACATGCTCAGTGAACAAACACTAACAATATAAAATATATAGAGTGACAACTTACATATTATTCTCTGAAATAAATTCTTCTCTTATTTGCTCAGGGAACATAATAATTAATGTTAGATGAGAACAAATGGACACTCAGCCCAAGTGTTTATTTTCTCCCCAGCAAAAACTTTTAGGGGGAGCATCAAACAGAAAGTTAAAAAGGAATGACAAAAACTGTTTTAATAAGCAGGCTGATGCAATTCCTATCTCTATATTGGTGGTTAAAACTGTGAAGCCATACTGCCTGGGTTGAATACTGGCTCTGACACTTAACTAACTGTTACCTGGATAAGTTAACTTCAGAAGTCTTTTCCTTGTCTGTAAAAAAGGGATAATATTATGTCCCTCATATATTTGTGAGGATTCAATAAGTTATTGCCCATTAAGCTCTTAAAATAGTACCTGACCTGGCATGAGCACCATAACTAATAAAGGTTAGTTATCATATTATAGATGCATATTTTCGATCACATTAATTCTCATATAACTTCTTTGAGAAAAATAAAGATCATCTTAAGTTTACAGATATGGGGAACAAGTCTTAGGGAAAGCCAATTACTTGCCCAGAAAATGAAACTAAAGACTTGGATAACTTGCTTCCCAGACTTCTAGAGTCCTAAGTCAAGACTGAAATCAAGTAACCACTAAGCCAACTGCTTTTAAGATAACTGAGGTCTTGCCTCCACTTCTTTGTTCCTGTCATGAAGAGATGTCTGTAACTGCTGAACGATACTCTCTTGTTCCTTCTGCCAATGGCTAAATTTGGTTTCCATTTCTTCTTGTAGCCACTGGAGGTTGTGACAGGTAGCAGTTAACTGTTCAACTTCTAGGCCTTTGGCCCTCAGGAGACTCTCCATGCTCTATAGTTACAAAGAAAGCAATCATAAGTTAAAAGAGCTATTCTATACTTCTCATAATAAATGAGAAATTAGATCCACCTTCAAATTAGCACCTATTGACTTTTTTGCAAGAGGAGAAAACTAAGTAACTAATCTAACAATGCCATACTAAATTTTTTTTGTTTTTAGAAATTCTTAACTAGTTTGTGGAGAGAGAAATACTAGGCCCATGATAAAATGGAAACATTATAGAGGAAGTAATTTCTCTGAAGAGAAAGTAAATGACTCCTTTAAAAAGTGACAGATGGTTAGTTATATAAGCTTTAAAATAAGTATGTAAATAAAAAGCTCATGGTAAATGTTAGTAAAATAAACAAGTGTTCTAATTGTGGGAATACAGGGACGTGTATGTAATATTAACGAGATGAACAACAGTTATACCCTGGAAATGCTTATGTAAAAGTGTATATGCGTGGGGAAGGGTGTGTATGTATCTATATCCAAATCCCATTTCCAAAGATGAAAAATAAATTAGAACCATGTAAATAGAAACCCATATTCACTGACTTCCTCTACAAAAACAGAAGTGCTGTAATTTCTCACAGTTTTTTTTTCTAATTTTTAAGTTAGACACAATACCTTTGTTTTTTTTTTTCTTGTTTGTTTTTATTAGCTACACATGACAGTACAATGATCTTGACAATTCATACATTCGAATCAAATGGGGTATAATTTCTCATTTTTCTGATTGTACAGGTTGCAGAATCACATTGGTCATACAGTCACCTATATACATACAGCAATAATAATGTCTATTTTATGTGATGCAGAGCATAGAATTCCATTCCTCATGTGTGCTAGGCAAGTATTCTATCACTGAGCTACAACCCCAGCCCTAATTTCTCACTTTCTAGTCTATAATGATGGAACTAGTAAGTGCTATTTTGTTTTTATATATATGTGTGTGTATGAATAAAAACAATATACGTGTGTATACACACACACACACACACACACACACACACACACATATATCCATATACTTTATAAAGCAAATACTCTGGTTTTCAGAAAATGATGGAGGAGGCTGATGCTTCAGGCTTAGAATGCAAGTGGGAGAGGAATACCAAGTCAAGACAGATTTTGCTCTTACATGCATGGTAGCTTCATTAGAAGAGAGGACACTGCACAGTCTCTCTATGTCATGATCTCGCTCTCTCACAGCAAGATGAAGCTGGCGCAGTTCTTTGTCTTTTTCTTCTAGAGCAGAGAACTTTTCATCTATAGCCCGCTGTAACAAAAAGTAAAGCTCCTAATTCTACAAAGTTCATTATCTTGATTACCATTTACTCAATGAGCTTCAAAGGATGAGAGAATGGAAAACCAAAACCCCAAAGGAGCAAATTAAGTAGACATAAATTTCTATGATACTCATGTACATAGAATAACCTATAGCCCAATAAGCAAAACCACAACACGTACCTCTAGAGCAATAGCTCTATCATGTGTCCGTTGCCGAAGTTTCTCAAGCAACATTTCATTTGCTTCAGGGGTTTTTTCTGACTTATCTCGATACTGTAGGAGCTCCTGAAATTCCTAATGAGACAAAAGACATTCCTTTATTCACTTATCTATTATTAACTGTATTCCTACATTTTGCTAAGTAATCTGTCATTTAAGATAAAAAACATGATCATTCTTCGCAGGGGGAAAAATTTAGCAGAGATAGCATTCATGTAAATTGTTAACTATTCTGCAACATACAACATGTATAATACATAGAACTGATAACCAATCTTCAACATATAAACATACTAACATGCTTGACAGCTAACTAGTAGGGGAACACAGGGTATATTGCTTGACTCTCTGCCTAATGGTGCAATAAAGATCTAACAAAGGAGGAACGATTTGCACTGATAAAAGACTAGGATTTCTGGGCTGGGAATATAGCTCAGTTGATAGAGTGCTTGTCCTGCATGCACAAGGCCCTGGGTTCAATCCCCAGCACCACAAAAGACTAGGATTTCTTAAATGAAGAGGTCCTAGGGGTACATTCATAAGAAAAAAAAAAAAAAACACTTTTCTACACAATATATGCATACAATGAAAAAAATCAGATACTCAGTGAAATATAAGCGATTCAATGTGAGTGAAGCTTAGAGTAGATGGCAGAACTGATCACTCTCCTTTCTCTCTCTCTCTCTCTCTCTTTTGTGGTAATGGGGATTGAATTCAGGGGCACTTAACCACTGAGCCACACCCCCAACCCTATTTTGTATTTTGTTTAGAGATAGGGTCTCACTGAGTTGCTTAGCGCCACTTTGAATTCGCAATCCTCCTGTCTCAGCCTCCTGAGCCACTAGGATTACAGGTGTGTGCTATTGCGCCTGGTCTGATCACTCTTCTTAATATCACATTTTTCTTTAAAACTTTCATTCTGTCATTTAGCTTTCAGGAAATTTATGTACAGATGTCTTCTCCTATTAGATTGAGAGAGTAGCCAAATCTCTTCGTTTTCCCAACCCCTGGCATAGTGTCTAACTCACAGAGGTGCTTACCATTTGCTGAATACTGGTTAAGTCTTTCAGGTCTATGCAGATGTTTCTTACTTGATGATTAGCATCTTGATTTAGATTGTATTTTCTACTTATTTTAAATCTTCCTGATTCCCAAAACTTAATATTCTACTTACAGCAGGATCTCAACACAGATGATTAATACCTTCATATTACAGGAACAAGAATTTCAGAGCTCTATGAGTACAGTTTCATTGAAGTCATAAACACTCACCTGAAGTAGCTGCTCCTTGTGACTTAGACTATGGTTTAGGTGTTGAATGTTTTGTTCCTGGGTTCGAATCTCATTGTATTTTTCAGCCTCCAGGGTACGAAGCTGTTGGCTCTTATTCTGCAATTCTCCTTGTAGCTGCTGCAAAGCTTTCCGCAATTCCTGAATTAAATATATTCCCTTCTTAAAGCAATCTAAAGTTTTTACATGGTCATTAGATACATTAAAGTTTTCAAGATATATAATGAAATATACAAYAGCAGAAAGTGCTATTGTTAATATTGCTATAGAAATTTGGATCAAATAGGATATGAAAAATTGTGAAAAAACTGTAGGGGTAGTAGGAAATAAACTTGATATTAGAGTTCAATGCGAACTTTAAATATTTCATGTATAAATTCCCATCAGAAGGGATGTAAATAATACAGAATTATAATAAGTGAATGTTCTTTTTTTCACACACCCATGAGTTATAAGTGAATACTTTGCATGTTTATAGTCTACACATTTATATAAATATGTGTGCAGATATTTATAAATAATAGGTATATATGCAACGTACTGTAAAAAAAGAAAGGGAGCTCTATATAACAATTAAACAAAACTCAGGATATGTTTCCTTTGTGTGCATAATAAAAAGTTGAGAATTATTTCCATCCCTATCCTTCTACTATTACCCCCAAACTATCAAGACAACTGAATTTTAATACTTCTAAAGGAAATTCAGGTCTCATATTTATCCTCCAAAGTACTAAACCAGGAAGATGCTTCAAAAACTGTACTTTTAAATCTGAGTGTCAGGGAGTCTAAGAGAAGCTAGCACAAAAAAGATCTTAAGATCTTCAAACAAGACAGACTGAGAGAGTGAGAAAGAATATACTCTAAACCAAGAAGAAAAAGAAATTCATTTAAGAGTTATGTATTAGACATTTTTCAAATTACACGACTAATTGTATTTTCCATTCCTTAGACCTCGGACATTCTTCCCCACTTTTCTGTTTGGCTCACTTTCACACCTCCCCCTGCTTCCAGAACACCTCATATTTCATCAAGCTTTCCCTGACTCCCTCTTCAGCCCCTCCTACATATTCTTATAAAAATCCATACATGGCTCCTCTGCAGTATTAACCATACTGATATTCTGTTCATGTGCTTTTCTCACACTAAATTATAAGTTAAGAGGAAGGAGCCTGTGGTATTCGCCATTATACTTCCACAATGTAGTTCAATATCTGACACATGACACATGGGCAACAAATGTTAAACTGAATTACTCAGATTAAAAAAATGACTTAGAGGTTAAGGTTCAACATACACAGTCCTGCTAAAAAGTTACTATCAGGGCAAAGTCAGCATTTGGGGCTACAAAGTGGTTAATGATTTACCTGGTTATGTTTCCAAGAAGCTTCTTTCTGCTGTTCACTCTTGTTTGCTGCAGCTTCTGCAAATTGCACACATCGCTTGGCATCAGCAAGTTGGCGTTCCTTCTGTCGTACCACCCTCTGAAGCTTCTGTATTTCAAGCTGGCTGCAGAATAAAGCACTCTGAAGATCAAGCAGAGCCACCTGTTGCTGAGCTGGGGAAGTACCCTCAGAGCTCTGAAGAAAGAGAAGAAATTATCCTCAAGAGGAGGGCAAGCATTGAACACCTGAGAAGACCGTAAAGACAAAACATAAAACCAAATGGCACATGCCCAACTGAAGTCTCTCCCTATGACGTTCACATACCTGAAGCTGTCCAAGCTGGTTTTGGTGCAGCATTTCTCGAAGCTTTGCCATTGTGTCATTTTGACCTTCAATCACCTGGTATAACTCCTCAGTCTGAAAATGAGAGAGAAGTGCCAAACATGTTAACAAACTAAATATAAATTCAATTATCTTGCCTGTATAGTAACAGGATTCTTACAAAACACCAATTTAGGTTAAGATACAATTTTTCCAGGTTAAGATTTGTTAAGTCTGATAATACATATTTCTACAAAATATAGAATACTGTCTACTTTGATGGGACAAATTGGTTTCTCACAGGTTCTTGATTACTAAATATTTTACCTCATTTTCCCTGCTTTTCAGAGTTTCCTTGAGGCTTTGAATTGTACCATCTTGCTTCTGAGATAACTCCTGAGCAGACTTTAGTTCAGAGCTCATTTCATTTAGTTTCTCTTGAAGAGTCTGAATTAAAAAAAAAAATAGTTTGCTAGTTTGTTAGGTCAAGGATATCTGTAAGCTTTAATGCAACCAAAGTACTTCCTCAAAACCAGGTTCTGAAGAATTTTTTCAGAATAGTACTTTCTTATTTTTCTCACATACAGTAACCACTAAAGTTTAAAGCCAATCAACACAAGGAAATAGAAATAAATGTGAAATACTTCCTTCAATACTCAGTTGCCTCAATTCCATGCACCATGCTTTCTCTATAATGGTAGCTATAGTAGGCACTTGTCCACATGAGTCACTGTGGATCCCTCACCTAAGACCAAGGAGCTTCTGCTATCTTTATATGGGACAGGATACTACAAGGACTCAGCAGGCAAGAAACTCAGCATCCTAGATTGTGGCATTGTTTTTCTAACAGACATGAAAATCCATGAGCTATAAAGAAGTGAAGTTAAGCTAAGATCAAAAGCACAAAGATCAAAAAGTGATACCTTACACTGTTAAAGGTTGGGTGCAAGTTTTAATTGCATTCCTAAACGATACCAGATATTGGAATCTGGGCAGACCTCGCTAAAATCTTGATGAGAAATAAAGGAAAGGACTAAACTTATAAGTGAAAGTTCCCTAGAGCATCAGAAGACCACAGAATTCACCTCTCAAGTCCTACTCGGGTCAAAAGACTTGGGCTACAGCCAATCACATCCTCAGGAAAATCCTGTGCTCTCCAGGAGCACAGGACTAATCATACCTTGTTGGTGGCCTCTGTTTGCTGGAGTTTTTCCTGAAGTTCTGCCATGTGGGAATCAGATATAGACTGCTGAGTTACGGTGGTCTCATCTGAGTTCCTCTTTTGTTGTTTGAGTACCAAATCTTCAGGCACGGACTAGGATGAAGCAGCAAGACAAGATGAGTTAAATGCAGCCAATAATAAATTTTACTTTTATGTTCAAATATCTGTGGCATGTTTTTTCCACAGATTGGGAACACCAGAGTTGTTACATGAATTACCAGTAAGACTTCCTGAAGACAATCCTGGTCCTTGCTAAGAGCAGTGATTCACCTCCATCCTTTCTATGCTCTCCAGCCTTCCCACCCACTCACACAGACTACGTAACTAGGTGAGGTGAGGCAAATAATTCAGTTTAAAGAGAAGGRGGATTTTAAAAAGGAAATACTTATGGTGACCAAATGTTTGCTTTATTCTATTTTTAATCAGGGAATTGAAAAGCTATATGGATGAATCTTATGCCATTCCTAAGAAGAAAAGTTTTATTATAATTACCTTTCTTACAACAGTCCTGTTTACATTATTGGAAAAACTGGCACATTTGAATATGAATTAGATATTAGAAAATACTCTTTTATAAACCTAAACTTTCTAAATTTGTTAACTGCACTACAGCTGTAAAAGATCTCCTTGTTCTTAGGAAATACATGCAGAAGTATTTAAGGTTAAGTGACATAATATCTACAACCAATCCTCACACATTTCAGGAATTTTTTAAAAATAATGAGCCTATACAAGGATAGGGATAAAACAAATGTGGCAAAATATCAGCAAGTGGTAAATCCAAGTAAGGAGTAAATAGGAGTTCTTTGTTCTTTTCTTACAATGTCTCCGTAAATTTGAATTTTTTTCAAAACAAAAAGGAAGAAATTACAGGTACATTAAAAAATAATTATGTATATTTACATATACATATATACTTAAATATATATACGTGTGTATTTTTATATGTATATATATGTATATGCCTAATTAAAGTCAGGTATACAGTACATCCTGGATAAATAATCTACAGTGGTATGGGAAGGAAGTATGACTTATAAGGATATCAATTCACTAAAAATATTCAGGAGGAAAAAATGCATTATGTACATATGGGATGACTGATCAGTCTAAGATAAACTAATTAAACTGTGCCTTATAATCATCATGAGTTAAAGATGTTAAAATAAAATTTAAGGACACACTGTGGCATTAAATAACATTTCCCCTCACATACCTGACACTCCAGTTAGGAATATAAATTCACAAGGAAGGAAGACAAAAAACAAGCAACTGTTATTCATTTTTTTCTTTCCTTTGCACTTGATTAGCACCTTCCAGGCAGTAGAGCTTACCTCATATTCCTTCCTGTTTAGAAGTATGAAGATCTTTTCTATCCCTTCCGTGCCATTTATCTCTTTCTCTAATTTCAGTTAAGTACTATAACCTGCACAGTACCCTGTGAGGAATTGTGGGGAATATAATGCTAATGCATAGTTTTAACTAAACAGTCTACTAGGTTTACTGAAGAGGTATTTCCTATCATAAATACAGAGAAATACATTCATTTCAATGGGAAATGTAGGAAAGGCTCTTCAAGCAGACAAAATTTTACCCTGCATAGGGACTGGAGTTGTAGACCAGTGGCAGASTGCTCACTTAGCATGTGTGAAACCCTGTGTCCCATCCCCAGAACCCCCCCACAAAAAAAAAATCCTGGATCTAAGGAGGGGTAGAATCTTCACAGGGCATCTCAGAGCAACAGAAACAGGAAAGTGAGAGAAGTGTGGAGCTAATGGATACAAATTGTGACTTCCTTTACCATTTTAGTGTTCATGTAATTTCACCCTTTAGAAAGGATACAATTAATAATTATATCAGCATAACAGGTATAACCAGGGCCTATCCTGAGCAAACGTGTTATCCTATTTAAAAGTCTAGAGCTATTTCTGAACAGCTAGTAAAGTCCATTAACCCCCCTCCATTTCATTATTTAGGAAGTCAAAATTTCAAAATTCTAAAAGACACGAATACCAAAGAGATATCAAGAAATATTTTTAATTATAAATAGATGATGGGAACTAAAAATAATCACATAGGTTTTAACAAGTTAGTGGGGGCATCTCACAAAAGAATCTAAACTTATGACATCATTTTTTAGAAGCTAGATCTCAATGCTTATTTAGACAAAAATGAGAAACTGACCCACTCACTGGATTTTCTTATGCCTACCAAATATCAGTTACCAGTGAAGGATCCAWTAATTTAATATATTCTCTCTTGCAACACATACATGTTGAGTACCTAATGGTAGGCACAGGTCCTAGAGATCAAGTACTATAGGACAAAGTCACTACCTCATTCAAATATACTTTGCAGGGCTGGAGTAGCATAATAAACAAACAAATACAAAATATCAGCTAGTGACAAGCTCTTTGCAGTAAAATCAGAAAGCATGGTAGAGAGTTGGTGGTTAAGTTACTCTACTGTTCGGAAGAAGGCATTTAATGAAGCAGCACTTAAATGGAAATCTAAATGAAAAAGAGCCAGTCCTTCAAATATCAGCAGAGGAAAGAGCCAATGAAATAGAAGCCTAGGAAAGAGAAAGGCCTATGTGGCTAAAGGGTTACTTTCCAACAGAAATATAACATGAGCCAGGTATGTAATTTTTAACTTTCTAGTAACTTCACTGAATAAGTGAAGTTTATTTTGATATTTAAGCAAATAAGGCCAAAATATTAATATAAACATATAATCAGAATAAAATCATGCTTTACATGATTTTATTCTTATTAAGTATTTGAAGTTGGAAGTACATTTTACACTACAGCACATCTCAGTCAGAATAGACAAGTTTCAAGTGCTCAGTAGCTACTCAAGGCCAGTGGCTAGCTTACTGGATAGCTCAGGACTGGAGCATAATGGGCAAAGGGCAGAGTAACACAATCAACTGAAAAGGTAGGCAGGGGCCCAATCAGACAGTTCTCCTAGAACAGCAGAGCTAATAAAGCTGGATTTCACACCAATTGAAAAGAAATGCAATACAGTATTTTTAACAGAAAGTAATCATATTTAAGTTTTCAAAAGACCACTCTAGCTGCTCTGTGGTGATGGACTGTTGGGGAGCACCAACAGAAGTGGAGAGAAGAGACAGGAGACTAGTGTACTACAGCAGATGAAATGCAATAGTGGCTAGGATTATAGTGGCCTTGATTGAGGTGGGATGGGGGGGRTAAATGAGTGGGTTTGGACAATTTTGAAAGTACAGTTAACAGGATTTGCAAAAAGAAGTAGGATATGACTCCTAGAAAAATTTAGATATTTGATACTAATGCTGGGAATATATAAGCAATCAAAAATTTTTATTTAATAAATGAAAAAATATTAGGACAAACAAAATCAGGCCTTTTTCCTAGTTCCAAGTTCAGAGTTCTAATCCTTCAGTGGCTCTCTTAGAAAGAAGACCATATATATATATATATATATATATAAATATGTACACACACACACACACACACGAACAGCAACTGTAAACCAAAGATTGTCATAGGAAAGTATATAATGAATCTGGATCTCATTTGAACTCACATTGGCATGAATACTCACAGGAAAACTATAATTCTATAAATATAAGGTAGTGACTTAAAAGCTTGAAGATAATTGTCTTTTTGTTCATAATAACTTTTTCTTTTATATCTCAGGAAAATGTCCTTTCAGATAACAATCTGGCAAAAGAGTACTTGGTAAGTGCTGCTGAGTAAAGAACTCATAATGAATTCAAGTGCATAAACCCATCACTCCAAACACTATAGTCTGAGATCAGAAATCCTTAAATTGTCAGAATTAGTGTTGTTCCCAGACTTTCAGTTATTAAGATCATGTTGTAATGATAATGCAATTTTAAATTAAGTCACTTTTTAAAAAATATTTTTTAGGTGTAATTGGACACAATACATTTATTTTATTGATTGATTGATTGATATGTGGTAGTAAGGATGGAACCCAGAGCCTTGCACATGCTAGGTGAGCACTCTACCACTGAGCCACACCCCAGTCCCTTAAATTAAGTCACTTTTGACACAGAATTAGTACAAATCCTTTCTAGCATCAGAAAAAGGATTGCTTCATGTTGCATAATGTAAAACCAGTAGGCTAAAAGGCATTTTAAGTCTATTGGGTTAACAGCAATTTTCTTGGCACTTTCTAGTCCTCAAAATAATGAATCATAGATCTCAAACTAATTTTCTATCCTATCATTCATAATAGGAAACAGACAAAAACCATTATCTAGCATAAAATTAAAGGCCTAATCTTTGACCAGTATCTAATAGTCTAAGCTTTTCAAAGGGCCTGATCTATTTAATAGAGCTAAGCTGAGTGAGATAATTTATCATAGTCACAAAGGAGAAGATTTTGGCATTGTAAGGTTTGAAGCAAAGATCTCTTTGAATTTACATAAAAAGGGCCAGGGTTCTCTGAATTGTTGTTTTTTTAAGAAACCACACCCCTCCTATGATAGCTTTTCTACTTCAGAGCCAGACAACAAAGGAGAAAATTACCAGCTAGAATAAGGCTTAAAACCTTTCTTTAGATATCTGAAGAACCTTAGGTCTTCAGGCATGAATTCCACAGAAGGCAAAGAAATTATTTTGCATAATATCAGAAAATCGGTAAGCAGGAGAAACACGCTGTTGCTGTTTTTCTTTAATACAGAAAAAGAAGGAAAGAAAAGGAGAGAGTGAAAAAGAAAAAAATTAATCAGGAGAATCCTAATGTTGATGTTTAATAGTGCATATAAYGGGAGGTAAGTGGAAGACTAAACAAAGGAATTAAAATGACCTTAACAGAACAATTTTGCTGGCTTAAAATAACAGGTTTTCTTCCTAGATCTATCAGATTAAACTAAAGGAAAATGTTTTGCTTAACAATTTTTTTTTTCTTCCTACAAACTAAAATGAGAACTATCAATGAAAATTTACATTGTATTTGTTCATAGAAATAGACAAAAACAGTCCGCCTTTGTCCCACCTAGCTCTGGTTTTTCCCTAAAGCAAAACAGCCCTTAAGGAGCTTACAATCTTATCAGGCTTAAATGATAGATAGATAGATCAAGT